TCTCTCTCTCTCTCTCTCTCTCTCTCTCTCTCTCTCTCTCTCTCTCTCTCTCACACACACACACACACACACACGCACACGCACACTCATATACACACATAACACACGTACATGATAACATGTGACAACTAAAAGTAACGATTGTGTGTGTATATTTGTAGATTCATGCTGTATGTTATTGTGTACATGTAGATATGTATCCTCACATGTGGAATCCAGAGGTTAATATTTATGACTATTTTCATGGATGCTAGAAATTGAACTCAGGTCCCCAAGTTTATACAACAAGCATGTTACCAATTGATCTGATCTAAATCCCTAGTTCTAGCTACTCCTAGGAGTTTGAAATGCGTATTTTAAAAAAAAAAAAACACCTGTGAACTGTTCATGGAGAAACCTATACTCTAGAGACAACAATTGATAATTGTGAAGTGTTTCCCATGTTTCTTTTTATAGAGTATTTAATTTTGAAACACCACAAGCCATTCGTGCATTCATTCATCTTCAAATAATCTGTGAATTTGGGTGTGGAGGTCAAAGTGCTACAATAATTCAAAATGACCAGAAAGAGTGCTTTGAATAAATCAGGTAAGTTCCTTTTGTGCTATTATCCCATGGGCACAGGGTAGTTTGTAAAGGTCATTATCATTTGACATTCCTCCCCCATTTGTACTTTTTCCTTTAATGTGATACATATGAACGAAACAGTAGTTAAAGAGTGGATTTTACTATAAAAGAGGAAAAGAGTAAAATTTTCAACACAGAATGTAAATCTATTCAAGGGTCGGTGTTTACTCTGTCTAATTGTCTGTGAGAATATTGTTCAGCCTATTTACTGTTTTAAGGAACTACATGTTGGAACTTGGACTTTCTATAATTTCACTATTTTAAGAATAGATTATAGGCCAACTGATAGCAGAAATGTTTAGAAATATTTGCATAGGAGTACAATCTAATTTTTTATTAAATGCCAAGGTGTGATTTCCTAGGTGCAACCATTTACAAATACAAATGTAGGCCCTATAAGTAAAGATAACCTTTCTGAAAAGGGATCTGATATACAGCTTGTGAATTACAACCTCTCTGGGTGGTGTGCAGTCAAGAATTCAGCCCTACTGGCCTATCATGATTTTTCATTCACAAACTCAGGAACAATTGGTTCCAGCACCCCAAAAAGACACTCATCTTGTGATATAAAATGGTGCGGTACTTACCTGTAATCTCTGTGCATCCCCTTGTATACTTTAAACCTCTCTGGATTACTTATAGTACCTCCTTTGTGGGAAGTGATTTGTAAATAGTTTTTATATTACATTGTGGGGGGGGAGTCTACACAATTTCAGTATGAACATCATGTAGCTTTGTCTGAATATTTTCAATTTGCTATTCTCCCACTTGGGAATGTAGCTCTCTCTCTGTCATCTCAGTCCATTCCTTGATAGGACTATAGTTTCCCTGTAAGATAAACAAAGAATCACGGTTTTAAAACTACTGATCATGCCAAGCAAATAAGCCTGGTGCTTGATTATTTTTTAAGGGTGAGTTTTACTAATTTTGCTTCAAAATATTTTATTAACAAAAGGCTTACATAAACAATAAAAGGAAAGAAAAATATGTTTCACACTGAATAATGTTCTGAGAGCATGGGTGTGGCTGTAGCTTCTAATGTCATCAGCCACAATGGACTAAAGGGAGAGTTAGAAAAGATATATTCGTATGATTTTTTAACATTTTAAAGTTTAAAAAAGCATTGCACCAATGTTTAAGAGCAAAGAAAGCACATAATAAAATAGACTTTAAAAATTACAAATGAAAATCTGTACATCAAAGGTATTTTTAAGGACTTCCCATGAGCAGTGATATATATAGTAAGAAATGAAGAACCACCAAGAATGTAACAGCATATCAGGTGTTGCAAGTCTGGCCCATCTCAGCCTGCAGGATCATCTCTTCTTTTCTCAGGGGGAAAGTGTCAATGAGGTTGAAGAGAGCCATGGGTGTCACTAGGGAGACATAACGTTCTTTATCCATGCCATGCTTATCCACTAGAACCATACTGAAGGAGTAGAGTGGGATTCGAAGCAACAGCCTGGAAGAAACATAAAGAAGACTTGTCTGTGTTCAACCTCAAATCCCAAGACTTTAAGGGACCAATCATAGTTCTCTGAAAATACTATGCAGAGAAATGCTTGATCCCTTGAAGGATTGGATCATTTTTATGCCCTCACTACTTGGGCTATTCAAAGTGTGGACCTTGGATCCATGACATGAGGACTTGCTCGGAAAAACACTTGTTCATGTCTGACCTCATTACATAACAAATTAGAATGTGTAATATTAGCAATATTTCCAGATAATTGGTATTCAGAAGAAAGGCTGAGCAACTCTGTTTTACATTATTATGGTCTGGAAGATCTCAGGCTGGCTATGGTACTATAAACCAAAGTGGCTATAAGGAGACTATAACAGTGATGATTATCAGCAAGAGTGTTTAACACTCAGGAGATATTTGGCCAAGTCTAAACACATGTTTGGTTGTTGGGTGGTGGGATATGAGAGGCAGCTGGGTACTTGGTCCAGTGCAAGCCTTGAACCCCAGAGACCCTAAAGGAATGGTAGGTGTTAGGCCTTGCTCCTGGGCCCTGGTTCCTTTCACTTAGCCACAGCTCCTCCCAAAGAAAGGTTTGTGGCCTTCAGTCACGTAGCACGGGTAGAGGGCATGACAATAGGCCACAGAGCCTCAAGAGATCTCCATATTCATGAGATACCTAAAGGCCAGAGGGCAGAGCCAATTAAGAATTTCTTTCCAGACCCTCCCCCTACTTGCAAAAGGTATTTAACCTCAGGCTTGCCCTGAGAACATGGGGTATAGCTTTATCCATTTTCTGCCATGACAATAAACGTTTTAAGATCATGGACTTCCTCTTGAGGCTCTGTGGCCTGTAGTCATGCCCTCTACCTGTGCTACATGACTGAAGGCCACAAACCTTTCTTTGGGAGGGGCTGTGGCTAAGTGAAAGGAACCAGGACCCAGGAGCAAGGCCAAACACCTACCGTCCCTTTAGGGTCCCTGGAGTTCAAGGCCTGCACTGGACCAGGTATCCAGCTGCCTCTCACAGCCCACTGTCCCACATTTGGTTGACATAAGAAGGGCGTTAGATACTACTGACATCTAATTGATAGATACCAGATATGTTGATATATTTATCCTACAATGTACAGGACAACCTTGTAGCCAAACAAATCCAGACCCAGATGTCAAAAGAGCCAAGGTAGAAGAAGCCTGGACAAGGTAAACTTGATTAAAGTAACATTAAAAAATTTATAGTGATGACCTATTCAGTGACTATCTGGGGAGTGAAATTAGAACTGGATGTGCTAAGTCTACACCCAGGCATTTTTACTTATTTGCCTATAATTTGTACCACAAATAATTTTTAAAAATAGTCAGGTATGGTTTCAACTGTGTCGTGTTTTTTCTATACTTCAACATATGGATTTAATCTATGCAGATGTTTTCTATCTAAATGAGAAAGCCAAGAGGGAAGTAAACAGACAGCTGAGCCCTGGAAAATAATGAGGCCACCCAGTCTCCTCTCCTGGTTTTTGTTCCTGTTGGAATATCTCCAGGTTATATAATAGGTAGAACATGAACTGCTGTCTGAATTTAAAGTGTAAGTTTTCCTATTGTGAATGGTTCCAAGGTTGTTTGTTTGTTTGCTTGTTTTGTTTTCTATTGCATAAAGAAAAGGTGGTAAGCTGGGCAGTAGTTGTGCATGCCTTTAATCCAAGCATTTGGGAGGCAAAGGAAGGTAGATATCTGTGCATTTGAGGCAAGACTGGTATATAGAGAGAGTTCTAGGACAGCTACATACACAGAGGTGATTCTGTTTTAACAAAGAGGAGGAGCAGGGAGAGAGAGACACACACACACACACACACAGAGAGAGAGAGAGAGAGAGAGAGAGAGAGAGAGAGAGAGAGAGAGA